AGGGTTCACGAAATCTAAATATCCATTTTCTTCCCCAGAGAGGAGGGTGGGGGATGAAGCAAGAGCTGAGGCTGAGGAGAAGAACCTTCTTACCTTCCACAGCTGATGGAACCCATTGCTCCATGGTGTCTTAACCTGGAAAGTGGGAAGAATAATCAAAACCGTACATCGTACTGGGCTATTGTTTCAAGAAGGTGTTATGGTTTGCATATGAGGTGTCCCCCAAATGCTCATGTGTGAGACAAGGCAGGAAAGCTTAGAGGTGGGAGGACTGGGTTAGGAGAGCCTTAACCTACTGGGTGCGTTTGTCCCCTGATAGGGATTAACGGGGTGGTAACTGTAGGCGGGTGGGATGTGGCTAGAGGAGGTGGGAACCTGGGGGCTTGACTTTGGGGTATGTATTTTGTCCTGGTGAATGGACTCTCTGCTTCTTTACTGCCATGTCCTGAGCTTCCTTCCTCCTCCACACCCTTCTGCCACGATGTCCTGCCTTGCCTTGGAACCAGAGCAACGGAGCCGGCCATCTATGGACCGAGCCTTCTGACCAGTGAGCCCCAAATACACTTTTCCTCCTCCAAAATTGGTCTGGACAGGTCTTTTGTCACAGAGATGAGAAATCTGACGAGAACAGAGGGGTAAAGCATGAGCAGTAGAGTTCTGCTACTGAGCATGATATCATTTTCACAGATTTAACACATGCACACGGAAAACAATTAGAACATCACATAAAGCTGTGAAGTGAAAATGTGATTTCTCCCATAACACTCTTCACTCAAAACTGTTTTGTTCCTTGGGTGTAATTTCAAAAGAAAATTATACACTTACTCAAATGTATATAAGTAAACAGATTGCTTCTATTTTTTTCCTCTGACAAATCAGGTAATCCTGTCGTGTACTGTTTTGTGCAGTGTGGACCTGGGTTCCCATTCTGGTTGTTCCTGACCAGATATGTGGCCTTGGGCTGGTCATTCATCACTCTCTCTGGAAGAGTCCTTATCTCTCTGATCGTCATGGAAATGAAATGAACCAGGACATGTTAAGTCTGCAGCACAGCTCCCCAGGCACAGCATGACAAATGCCAGCCCTTCGTTGTCATTATTAATATGAGTATAGCAGGATTTCTAACCCAGGTCCCTGAAGATTTTTTAAATAGTATTTAGTGACCTGAACATTGACTCAGATTCCATGGCTCTCTAGAGGTCTTGTCTGGGCCAGAGGGTTCTCCTTTGTAAAGGGAAGGGGTCAGAGTGGATGATTGGCCACACATTTGCCACCTGAAGAGTCTATGGATAACATTTGTTGCCTTTCCATGTGTGGAGAGAGGAGGCGAAGCAAGTCACCCAGGAGTGGCTGGAAACGCCCACGCTGGGTCCCCTGTTGATGTGGGCTGCAGACCATCTTGGAGCCTGGGCCCTGAGCTCCAGGAATCTAGGGAGATCACCCCTAGGCAGTGAGGCTGTGGCCTGGGGCAGGTGCAGCTCCCTGGATATGTTCTCTCCCCTTTTCTTCTCACTCACTCTTCCCAGCCAGGGCTTACTGGCTTCCTGGAAAAAGGGACCATTGGCCAAATGTGCCTCCCTTCCTTCCAATCTGGCCCCCTGACCCTCACTCCTGCAGCCTGGGGTGGCACATTGTTAGAAAATAGTCCTGCATAAGCCTTTGCCTTAAACCCTGCTTTCTATGGAAGCTCTAATAAAACAGTCTATAAAACTTTTTTTTTCCTTATTGTTATCATAGTATCTAAGCAGAGAAATGTTCTTAGGATCGTTTTTGGAAACGCTGCTTCCTGTAATACTTTTGGCAGTTGATCTTCAGCCTTCCTCTGGTACTATTGGAATTATGAGCTTAGATTGTTCTAGATACATCTTCATCCTTTCCTAACACCCAATTCTGGCAGGCAACAAATGCTTTCTCGTCTGTTTCTACCCCCTCACTTCACTGCATTAACTCAGGTCAGGATGCCCTCCTGGAGGACATGAGCAGACTAAATAACAAGGGGAGGGGATGGTACAGATAGCCCTCAGCTACAGAGGTCATCTTGCTAGTAAAGCAGGACTGGGAAACACAGAAGTAGCCAAAGGGTTTCCAGCTGTTTTGTTTCACAGCTAAAATATCACAGAATGGTCCAGGTTATATTTGCTTCAACTTTGCCTCACCACTGCCAAGCATTCCCAAGTCTGGAGTGCAGTGTCATGGAACTCAGGCGAAGGCCTGTGGCTGCCCTTTCCCTCCTGCGTGAAGGTTCTCTGAGACACTGAAGCAAGCAGGTCAGCGAGGTGCTGGGGGGAGTTTTCATCAATTGCTATTATTTTCATGCCATTCAGGCGAAACAGTGAACAATTTAAAAGTAAAAGTCCAGAATTGCAGGCCCATGAAAACAAGAAACCCGAGGATGATGAGTCGGCCAGGCTTGGAGTACCTTTAATTCACTAAGAATTAGGTGGAACACCAGGAAGGGTAAGTGATATGGAGGTCGAATTTGCTTGGGAAAAGATCCTGTTACATTCAAAGAAGGAATAAACCTGTTGGGACCAAGTCATGAGATGTTGTAGGTGCTGCTTCAGTTTCTTTGATATTCCAAAAAAAAAAAAAAAAAAAAAAAAAAAAGAAAGAAAGAAACAAACAAACATGCAGTTTTATGACTCTCAACTGTCGCACACTGAAAACTCTGTTGGGCCTGGGAGCTCAGGCTTGATGCTCTTACAGACACTGCTGCCTACTTAGAAAAAGGAAAGAAAAACGTTGACATTAAAGATGTTAAATGGAAGTGCTGGGAAGTGACATTGGCTGAATTACGTTGTTAGACTGTGAGCGTGGACAAAACATGTAAAAACGAGCCCCATCCTTATGTACAAGGATAATGCACCCATCAAGAATGTGGGGGAGACATCAATCGGCACCAATGGGTCAGTCAGCAGCTGTTTATGTGCCCAAGGTATGTTTATGTTTCTCAGCCTCGCACTGTGACACCTTGGGCTGGGGGACTCTGGGCTGCTTGGGGACTGTCCTTCTTGAGGTGTTTTGCAGCATCCCAGGGCTCGACGGACTAGATGCCAGTAGCAACGTCCACCTCCAGTTGGGAGAATAAAAAATGTCTCTAGAAATGGCCGAAGGTTTTCCCAGGGAGCACAACGCCCCAGAACGCCCCCTGGTTGAGAAACCGGAGGCTGGTGCAGCCAGGATGCAGGAGAGTGGTAACGCGGAGGCCCGCCCTCCAGGAACTGAGGCCGAGATGAAGGGAGGCCAGAACTCAGAGGGGATCAGACAACCCAGGAGAGTGCCCCACAGCGGAACGGCACAGGCGGGCGTTGAGATGAACTCCTGGGGGCTCAGTGCTGTGGCTTAGGGTTCTTTTTCCCTGTTTTTTGGCAAATGTCTATCAAGTGCTACCCTGGGACAGAGGCTGTCTTAGATTTTGGTAACACATCAGAGAGCTGGACCGAATCCCTGCCCTCGTGGAGCGCATATCCTTTTGGGGAGCGCTATGGCAGGAGAGGGTTTGCGTGTGTCCCCAAAGGTTTCTGTGTAGGAAGCTTGGTCCCCGGGAGATGAGAGGGGGAGGTGCCTTTAAGAGGCGGGGTCTAGTGGAAGGTGAGTACGTCATTGGCGTGCTGCCCTGGGAACAGGCCACTAGAGTTCTCGCGAGACTTTGGTTAGCTCCCACGAGAGTGAGTTGTTATAAAAGGGGCAACCTTGGCCCAAGAAGCTCTTCGGCTTCCTGTCCGCCTCTTGAGCCTGCTCCTGGGTTGTTCTGGCGGGAAGGCTCCCTTGGTCTCTCAGTGCCTCCTTGACTTCTGGCATAACAAGTCAGCCCCATTTTTACTGTCCACATCTAGAATTAGCCATTTCCTTAAGGATGGATGCCATTATTATTATTATTATTATTATTATTATTATTATATACACGAACTGGGAGATGCACTAATTTTAGGTGTACAGCTCAATGAATTTTACCATATGTGTACACTATGATGTAACCACTTATCAGCTAGCAAGTTCCCCAGGGACCCTGTGCATGTATTTCCTCCTCTCCCTCCCTGTATGCAGAGGTAATTATATGTACATTTCAGATCCTTATTATCCTACTCAACATTATGTCTGTGAGAGTCAGCTATATTCTTGCATATAGCAGTAATCATTCTTTTTTCTTCTTTTTTTCATTGCTGTATAATATTTCACTCAACTTTCGATGAGTAGTTTGGTTCTTTGTAGTTTTTGACTCTTGTGAATAAAACTGACAAAGATTTTTTAAAAACCATGTTTTATCGTCATAAGGATAACAACTAATAGTCAGATGGGGTTTTTACACTGGAATCAACTAATGTTATTCCATAGCTTTGTGGCTAGATGTTTGGATTACTCTATTCCTCTCACCACCTTTTGGGCTGTAAGAACTGTGTGCATTCCTCTTGCATAGAAACAAGTTACTTCTCCACATATCCTTGCTCACCCTGCGAAAACTCACCATGTTCTTCATCAGCAGGGAGTAGTTAGTTGAGATCCTAACTGCCATTTGTGACTCATGCACACCCGTGGAGTGAGCAAATGAGCAGCACTAAAATAGAAGTGAATGCAGACCCCAGGGGAGGCACACGGTGAAGACTCCCCAACAGACAGTGGCTCCAGGGAGCGTGGGGCCTCCGGGTTGTGACGTTCATTCCTCGTGACTGTGTTGGGGGAGGCTTCTATTCTGAGGAGCATCCTGGTCCACTGAGTCTTTCCATGGAGCAATTTGAGGTTTATAGTCAGTGACATGGGAAGTTCCTCTGGGAGGACTCTGACACATCCCATGTGCCCACTGGGGTTGAGACTCAGGGTGTCAGAGCTGGAGCACCCGGCTGCAGACTTGAGCACGCACACATCCCTCCCCATCCTTCTGAACATCCCTTCAAAGAGCCAGAAAACCACTAAAACCCACACAACTATCAAAGCAAATATAGTTAAATGAAGAAACAGTTTCCATTTTGGAGAAATAATGCCGTAACATCTCTCTCCTTCAGGTGACGTGAGGACGAGGAGTTTTGCCTTAGCCGCCCCTCACTGCCTCACAAGGCAGCGAAGCTCTCCAGTTTCACACCCTCAGAACTGTGGAACGGTGAGGTCCCCCTGCCCCTCTCCTCTGAGATCATGTTGTATATGCACACATGCACACCCAGGTACATAAACTCACATGCACATACATGCATACACTCACACATGTGCCAACAAATACGGATACCCACATACGTACATGTAGGTATGTGTACCTATACATCATGTATGCACACAAAGTATGCCATGTGCATACACACATCTTCAAATTTAGTGTTATTATGTTAGATAGTTTCCTTGCATTCCTAGTTTCTTGACTGAATATTGGATGAAAGGATGTTGCGTTTTTTCAAGTGCACTTGCTGTCTGGGTTGAGATGCTCATGTGTTCTTCCTCTTTCTGCTAATGTGATGTATTACGTTGATTGATTTTCATGCGTTCAAGCCTAACATTCCAGGATTAGAATCTACTTGGACAGGGTGTGTAATTCTCTCAAAGTATCATTTAATTCAGTTTGCTAGTATTTTGTTGAGGATTTTTACATCAGTATTAATCAGGTAGTTAATCAGTATTAATCTGTAGTTTTCTTACTAACTTTCACATCAGGGTAATGGTGGCTTTATAAAATAAGCTCAAAAGTCTTCCTGCTCTTCATTTTTGTTTTTTGGAAGAAGTTGAGGAAAATGGTTATTTTTCTCTTTAAATATTCAGTGGATTCTCCAAAAGAGCCAGTTAGTTCTGTCTTTCTTTGTTGGGAGTTTTAAAAATATGGATTCCTTTTCCTTTTTGGTTATATGTGCACATATATACATGTGCACACATAATACAACTGTATCATATAAATGTATCAAATGTGTACACACATATATATACTCAGCTAATGCTGCACCCAACTATGAAAATATGAACGCTTTTCCTTTAACACACAAAAAAAGACAAGGGTGCTCACACTCATCATTTCTATTCAGTGTAATACTGGATGTTCCAGGTGAAGCAATTAGAGAAAAATAGGAAACAAAAACCACCTGGAATATAAAGGGAAAAATATATTTACCTCTGCAGATGATGTAATTGTGGATGACGTGATATGTAGAAAACTCTAAAAATTCCTTCAAAAACTATTAGAACTAATGAAGAAATTCAGCCTAATTTCCATTGCAAGATATAGAATTAGCACACAAAAATGCATTGTGGATCTATACACTAACAACAAATAACCCAAAAGGCACTTAAGAAAATAATCTCACAATAGCATCAAGAAGAATAAAATGCTTAGGAATAAACTTAACTGAGAAGGTTAAAGACTCAAATGAAGAAAACTAAAACATCACTAATCATGCTACTTAATGTGATCTGCCAATTGACTACAATCCCTTGTTGAAATTCAAGTGGCATTTTTTGCAGAAATAGACTAAAACAACCCTAAAATTCATATGGAATCTCAAAGACTCTGCAAAGCAAAGCATTCTTGAAGAAGAACAAAGTTGGGGTCCTCACACTTTTGATTTTAAAAATATTATAAGGCCATGTTATTTGAAGTAATGTGATACTGTCACAAAGACAGACAAGTAAACCAAATAAATATTATAACAAGTTAAGAAATAAACTTTCATATATTTGGTCAAATGAATTCAACAAGAGTACCCAGACCAAACAACTGGGAGAGGAGAGTCCCTTCAATAAATGGTGTCAGAAAAGCTGACAGAAGAATGAAGTTGGACCCTCACCTTATGCCACAGACAAAATTTACCACAGATTACAGACCTAAGCATAAGTCCTCAAATTATAAAACTCCTAAAAGAAAGCAAAGGGAAAAGCTTTGTAATATTGGGTCTGGCAAAGATTCCTTGTATGCATCATCAAAAGAAAAAAACAGAAAAATGAAACTACATCAAACTTACCTGAAGGTAAATTGCTTCTCCATTGGTTTATTTATGCACAACACTTCTACGCTTCTTCAGACTTCTGTACCTCTCCCCTCAACACCCCCCACCAATTATAACTAATAAGAACATCTTATGAAGTTACCAAATGTCCTTCAGGAGCAAACAGAGGAACAAGACGGATGACGGAATGGGAGAATATATTTGCATATTCTATCTGTAAAGGATTAGTATCTAGAATATATAGAGAACTGGCACAACCCAGCAACACAAAACAAACAACCCATTAAAAATAAACCAATGAATTAGATAGATATTTCTCCAAAGAAGATCTACAAGTGACCGACAGCCTATGAAAAGACGTTCCACACCAGTAATCATTAGAGGATGAAAATAAAATCACAATGAGATAAACTTAAGTAGGGGGGGGATGATTACTATCAAAAAAATTAATAAATAAACAAAACAGCAAAAAACAAATGCTGGCAAGGATGTGGGTAAACTGGAATTCTGGTAGAAATGTAAAACAGTGCAACTGCTTTGGAAAATAGGATGGGATCATGAAGAGGTGTTTACACACCCATGTTCGTTGCAGCATTATCCACAACAGTTTAGAGTTGGAAGCAACTCAAAGGCAGGTGAAAAGATGAGTAAGAAAATATGTTACCTATATAGAGTGGAATATTATTCAGCTTTGTAAAAGAAGGAAATTTCTTATCATCCTACAATGAAACTCTACTAAGCAAAATGAGCCAGTCACATGAAGCCAGATAGTCCAAGATTGCATGTAGGTGAGGTATTTAAAGCAGACAAACTCACAGAGACAGAAATTAGAATGTTGCTTGCCAGAGGATGAGGGGAGGGAGAACTGGGAGTTGTTCAATTGATAGAAGTTTCAAGTTGCAAGATGAAAACCTGGGTTGCACAGCCACATGCACATAAAGAACACTCCGGAACTACTTAACAATGGTGGAGATGGCAAGTTTCCTCTGTGATTATTTAATCACAGTGAGAAATAGACACAGGAAGTGGTTGGATGTAAGGGAGGCAGGCACTGGTGTGTCACCAAAGTCCATGAAGACAGCGACCACCTTGCTTCAACCCACTTGTCTGACTCTGTGCAGATTTTAGCAGTGATCGTCCTGTCTCCTGGGCCTAACCCTGGTTCCAGGGGCTTGGGCAACAGGATGCTCTTCGGGAAAACCAGGGCACCTACAGGAGCAGCGTGGGCATTATAAAGACATTCTGTTGAGAAATATTTAAAAAAAAAATTCTCTCTGTACTTGGAAACCCCCTTGCCTTAAAGTGAAGCGCACTCAAGATCAATATGCAATCTTGTATTTTTTCCTCTTGACTCTCTGAAATCCCCAGATCTGTCTTGTTTATAATTCCTTGTGATTTGCATCTTGTCTTTCCTCCCCAGGCCCAGCCCAGGCTCAGCTCCATGCACCAGGAGACCTGTTCTGGCTGCTTCCTCCCCCAGCTGCCCTGGTGACTCTGCCCACTTACAGCAAGAGCTTAGTGTCAAAGAGGCATTTGGACGTGTAACAGCCACCGTGCCCCCTTTTTTACTACCTTCAACTTTTAAGTGGTTTCTAATTCTCCCTGGAAGTTAAGGTTCCTAAAGCCGTGGATGAGCTTCTGAATCCATTCGTCACTCATAATAGACTGAGTTTTCTGTCATCCTCTGGTAGAGTGTGTCCCATTGATAGGCTAGCAGGTGTAAATTGTCTCTCCGTTGATTTACTTAGACATCACACACGTTCTTTCTACCCCTCTTCAGATCTTCTGCACTCTTCCCAGGACACCCTCCACGAAGTATAACCAACAAGAACATCTTCCGATGTCACCAAATGTCCCCCAGGAGTGAATCTCCCCGCATTCAGTACTACTGGGTAAATGATTCAGCATTAAGGTGCTTTCCAAAGTGTTTTTGTTTTTTAAATTCAATTCCTAAGCCTTTGCTTATATCATCCTTCTTCTTAGGGCTTAGGACCATTTTCTTTACCTGGGCAAACCTCTGGGAAGCTGAGCCAGGCCAGACCATGGAGGCTGACCCAAGGTCCAAGATTGGCGAACACAGGTGAACAGTTCAGATCTTCTACGTTGGATTCTTATGACAGCAGAACTCAACCAAGGCCTTGCTGTTGATGTCATTAGATTCGTGGTATTTCCAGGGCTGCGGCTTGGTCTTGCCTTCCTGCATCCAGCACTGTGACCTCTTTCCTGTAGTTGCTTTGAGGCTCTTGTTGGAAGTGGCCATTCTGTGCTTGACCAGTCCATCTTCTCTCTTTGTAGCCACCAAAGCCCCATTCTACAGCCCTCCTCACCCCCACTTAGATTTCAAGTGCCTTGGGGCCAGGAGCTATGTTCTATTCCATTGTTTGATTACATAATTTCCTCCATGGAATAGGGGCTGAATCTATATTTTATAAATTGAGGAAACATGAAATAAAGTACCATCTTGTAGAATCAAGAAGAGCCCTGTGTTATCAGCACTTCGCACTTACCACCCTCTCTGCCGATCACTCACACCTGTGTGTGCACTGACGGGCGACGGAGCTGGGGTCCTAGGATGGGTAGGGTGTACTGGTGTGTTTTCACTCAGTGGCCTCTGGGGATCCTGGGAAAGTCGACCTCTCATGAGCAGATATTTTCCTAAGTGGAATAAGGGAGCATTGTCCCGATTCTTAACATGATTGTGAGAGGCTTCGAATTATGCTTCAGAGTCTAAAATATATTTATCAGCAAATATGAATCAAACTGATGTCATGTAGGGGTCTCTCTGTGCTGGTAATTCCTTCCAGAGCTGCAGGAAGGTCAGTTTTTTAGGCCTTCAAGGGCTCTTTGCATCCATAATTTCAGCAATACCATGGCCGGCTCCCTGTTGAGGATTGGAACCGATCGAGGACCTTGACAAAGAGAAACCCATAGAATTAAGAAGACAGCATCAAGCTTACAGAGTTTGATAAGGTAGAGATCTGCACGATGAATTTTTATACATCTTTTGGCACGTGTTTTTCCACTTTTGGAATCAAAATCAAACAAAGAAGCTTTTCAGGAACAATTTTAAGGGTCTGGGGCTGTAGCTCAGTGGCAGAGCATTTGCCTAGCATACAGGAGGCCCCGGGTTTGATCCCCAGCACCACAAAAAGCAAACAAATAAAAAATGTTAACTTTGAAGGTATTTGCACTTAGGTTCTGAGGGGCAGAATGAGCCTGCGGATGATGAAGTGGGCTTTCCTGATTGCTCAGGACCCCAGAATCATGGGGAATATTTACAGATGCCTGTATTCACTGCTCTCCTCTGAATAAATTTTATGTGCTTAAAAAAATGCTTTTCGAACAATCAACCTGCAAATTTTTACCATGAAGCGATAGCATATAGCAAAATAGTGACACAGGACTGTCACCAGTTTCAGGTACTTGAACATCTTTATTTCGATGAATTTCTCCTCTTGAAACTGCCTCACCGAGAACCATTTCCTTATAAAATTCACTTACCTGCCTGATGCTCAGCCCAGAAGCAGCCGTGAAGTGATCTTTCATTTACTTTTTTTCAAGATTAAAAATCATAGCTTGAAGGTGTTTTTACTAAATGATGTGAATAATGCTAGGGAAAGAAGTGGCAACTAGTATGCTTTTAAAAATTATTCCACAAATGAGACCTTCTATCTTGTTGGAACTATTGACCCACTGTTAATGGATGACTATATATTCTGGGTTTTATATTGGGACAGGTTTTAGCAATCAATATTCTAGAAATTATGAGACTGATAAACTCCTCGAGTATCTGTGTTATTGAAGAATAAAGCAAAATAGACTTCAGGAAAATAAAAGGGATAAACAGACAACTGTTACTATACAAATCCTTCATTTCCAGGGAAACAGTTATTGCTCCCAGGATTACGGAAGAACACACTATTGCCAAGTGTGTCTGATGAAACTTGCGTTTTTCTGAAGCCTACTAAATGGGCAATGTACTAATAAGAGTTGCCTCTTGAATGTAACATAAACTGTTAAGGTGTTAAGGTCTGAAATGTTCTTTAAAATTGAGCTGTTAGAATCAATCTTTTCTGCTTAAGGATTTTTGGTCAACAAATTGTAATTATATATACTTATGAGGTACAATGTAATGTTTTGATATACGCATAAAATGTGTCAAGATTAAAGCAAGCTAATTAACATGCTGTCACCTTGTTTACGTAGCATTTTTTAAAATGGTGAGACATTTGAAGTTTACTTTTCTAGTTATTTTGAAACATATATCACTGTGAACTATAGCCCCACCACTCCACAATAGATGTCAAACCTGTCTCCTGTCTATTTGGAACTTCGTACCCTTTGGTTGACAGTTCTGCATTCCCTCCCTCCACACTAACTTTCTTAGATTCCACGTGGAAGTGAGGTCCTGTGGTGCTTGTCTTTCTAGTTAGGCTTATTTTACTGAGCACAATGCCTTTTGGTTCCAATCGTGTTATTGCAAATGACAGGATTCTCTTTTTTTCTTTTATATGACTGAATAATATTCCATTGTGTGTGTGTGTGTGTGTGTGCATGTGTGTATATACCATGTTTTCTTCATCCATTCATCTGCTGACAAATACTGAGGTTCATTCCTCTTGAGGGCCACAGCCGAGTTGGGAGGACGCATGGCATTTTTGCCAGAAAGGAGTGGTTGAGAGGTGATGCCAGCAAGCCATTGAGATGATGATGGTTATGTTAAGCTGTGTATTCAATTGTATATTAGACCCCTGCTGTCTGCCTTGGCCTGCTACTTTGGAGTTCTCGAGGGGATTTCTGGGGAGTTGGCGTTGGTTGGGGAATTGCCAGAGGAGGGATTTCCGGTTGTGTGGTGTTCCTGGAAGGGCCACGTGGGTGGTGTTGGCAGAAAGCGCGTGTGCAGTGCCGGTGAGAGTTGAAATAAAGTAGTTGCTGTTTGAACCTACAAGGCTTTGTGGCGGCTCGGTTATTTGTGCCCAGCCAGACTGTGGCACATTCCATGTCTTGACTATTATAAATAGTGCTTCAATGAACATGGGTTGCATGTTCATGGTTGAACATGAACATGGGTTGACATAATGTTTACCTAGTGGTGGGATTTCTGGATCACATGGGAGTTCTATTTTAGTTTTTTGAGGATGTGTGATACTGTTTCCTATGCTGGAATTTACATTTCCACAAACAATGTACAGGTTCTCTTCTCTGAACCCTCTCCAACACTTTTGATCTTTTGTCTTTTTGTGGAAAGTCATTCTAGTAGGTGTGAGATGATACCTTGCTGTGGTTTTAATTTGCATTTTCCTAGTGATTAAGGATGCCGAGCATTTTCTCATGAATCTGGAATTGGTCATATATCTTGAATTGATTTTCTCATGAATCTGGATATTTGAACAGCATCAAATATACTCTTAAATACTGTAGCATCTACTGACCTGTAGTCATTCATTGGCCTATTTTAACTGATGTGAAAATATTATTGTTATTTTAAATAAAAACAATAATATTTAAATATATGTATAATGCTACTACTATGACTAATGCTAATTATTCTTTCCATTGCTTACTAAGTTTGCAAGCTGTTAGCCCCGTATTAGAAGGCAGTGGAGGTAAACCTTGATTTCTCTGATTTATTATTTTTGTCTCTGGAATTTCCAGTCATTTCAGAGGATGATTTAGGGGAGCATTTGCTTGATTTTAGCCTAATATTATTTGTAATGGGTCAAGTTGACTCTGTTACTTCAAATTTTGTGACATGTTTTTGTAAGATTTGAGAGACTTCATCATTTTGAAACTCAAAATCCTGAGAGATCATTTTTAGTGGTGAAGTTTTCCAGGAAGACATCACATGGTGTTTTACTAACAGAAAGACATCAAGATGGATGACTGTCTTCTTCTAATCAATGCCAGAATTACAGTTTAGTAAGAGTCACTGAAATTGCACAGAGAAATTGGGAAAACCACACAAAACGCAGAGCATCACAGCCAATTAGAGACTTTGGGGAATGGGCCTTTGGGAAAACCAAATCTTTCTAGTAACAGGTTTTCCCATATGCCTTGGTGAAGTATTATTTGAGTGCGAGGGAGAGAAGTTCACTTAGCCTGGGATAAAATGTAATAGTGGCAGGGCCATGTGCTCTCTCAGGTCACTCAAAGGCAGGTGGCACCACGGAGCCTCAAGTGGCAGTAGAATCGGCAACTTGAACTCTAGGGTCTGGGTCCTCTCCAGCTCCTTCTGTTCTGCCCCTTTGAGGGCTCCCAGGGAGGTGGGCCTTCGCTGGGGAGAGAGGATCATAGTAGCTCAGACTGGGTCAGGAGCCCTATAGTCCTAGCACGTGTGTCTAAGGACCTAGGTCTGGGCCCTTTCCTTCCAGGGGGTGTGGGAGCAGCCTCTCTGAAAGGCACTGGCCACATTAGCATCTCAGCACTAAGCCATTTGGGTTAGCCAAGCTCGCTTGCTTACTTGATAGTAATAATGGTTATTTTTTTTTCTAAATTACATTCTAAACGCACCAGGGGAGTGCTTAGAAAACAGTTCAGACTTTTTGCACTAATATATTCTCATGCTGACCTGGTACAGCAGCAACTATCAAAGCCAATCATACTCTGGGGGATGGTCTGTGATCTAGAGTCATTTTTTTTTTTTAACTTTCCTTCTTTGCTCCTCGCCATTATCCATCACTATGATCACTTATGTACTTTTCCATTTTACACTTTTTCCTACTTTTTTGGCTTGGAAGTCAAGGAATTCCTTCCTATGATTAAATATCATGTAAGGATAAATAGTTTTTGTTTCTTTCTTTTGAGAAAACATTAGGAGCTGAGAGCATGAACATTTTCCAAGTGTGCCGGTCGCAGGGCTTGTGACCCCGAGGTGCCTGCTTTGGAGTAGGCAGAATAGAGGAGGTCTGGCTACCCTGGGTTCTGTTCCCAGGCTCCAGCATTTAAGCACATGATTCCCTTTAGTCGATTGCTTTACATTAAAGATTTACTTCCTCTGTGGGTTTGGAAATTGTTTCTAAAAGCCGGCTTTTGGGTCCACATATGTAATTTTCATGAGCCTGTGCTGACCTATCTGTCTGATGGTAACGGAAACAGCAAGAAAAACCAAATGTCGGTGGTCACGTTTTGTTTTATTCTCAGGATCGGCAGAAATTCTTTTGACACTATTCACCAGTTTTTTCTTCAACTTGCCTCAGATTTCTCTTACCCTTTGCATGGATTTGTGGAGGTGCTGTCCTGATATTTTCTCTGTGGGCCTCACTGAAGTCTCACTGAGCTCAGGGCCCTTCTTAGAGACCCTCAGTTGCTGTGTGCTTAGCGCCTTTATGATGAGTCTGGTTTTGTTTCATGCATGAGCTTCATTGGCAGAAAATCATTATTCCTTATTTCCTTGCTTAATGCTTGGGAGACATGGGCTTGGCCTTCTGCGCTCCTGAGTGGATACTTGAAATGAGTCAAATGCATCTGCTTTAAGTAGATATTGACTAAGAGAAATGAGGGAACACCCTAGATACTCAGCCCACATTGAAGTCTTTGTTCCTGTTCTTTGTTTTTTAATAGCATATTATTTATTTGGACAGATTGGGACTCCTGTACGTGTTTAAGAATTTCATCCCAGCCTGGGTTTGATTCTTAATAAGCATTTCACATCTGTCTTTCACTGGAATTTCTACTGCTCTAATTACATGGGTTGTTTAGCAACCATCTTATTTGCAGTATACTCAACATGTTTGCTGCATGTCTCCTTACTCCAAACAACACTTGTAAATCACAGCTAGGAGAATGTCAATATCTGTAATATTTTCAAAGTCATTGCAAACAAAATGAAAAATAAAATTTGAGGGCTCAAAAGGATA